GGAGTCTTTCCTCTTTCTGTTTTCTTTTGTTGGTTTGTCATGCTATAGCAATGTGATAATAGGGCTCCTAATTTAGCCCCATCTAATCCAGTACGTGAAGCACTGGAGGATTATATTCCTGTTCTGGCCCCATCACTTAGTTCTTGAGGTTGACCTTGTTACAGTTGTAGAGGATGATGATTTAAATCCTGAATTTGTAGGTTAATATGAAGAGTGTAATACTGTACTGATTCACAACGGACAGATATATTATAAAACGTATGTGCAGGTTCCGCTCTTCCCTGAAATGGTGGATCAGATGGACTTGTTAAAAAACTGTTACTCATCAGAAGAACAAAGCAAAAAAAAAAAAAAAAAAAAAACATTTAGGCACAAAACTATCTAGTTTTTTAGCCTGCAACTATTTGGACAAGGCTTTTATGAAATGAAAAAGATGAAGTGAACAGTTCTCTTTAACTATCCCCTTGCATATCCAGATATTACTAAAAGGAACAGACACAATGTGCCCAATTGATTGGACTAGTAAAAATTTATTCCTACAGTAACAGGCACCCAATTCACGAGGAAAAAGAAATAGATGAAAATGAATGCTTATTTCAAGGATGTTATTTTGGGGCCATAAGAAGCGAACACAACCTAAATTTGACAGTTGCAATTCTCTCCTCATGAAACCAATTGAAGTTACCTGCACCAATATGCAGCTGCTCCATAAATAAGCATCTACAATGTTATCTGCAACTGTTTGCTTATAAAGTCAAAGATTTGTCCATTTATCTCATTTAACTGAAATAGAAAAGCTTCCATAAGACATTGTATATTTAATCTGACGCACTGTACTATCTTGAATCAACTTGAAATAAAATAGAAAATCAATGAAGATATTGTATTAACAATGTAAAACTTTTCCAAGAATAGAAGAACCCTGACACCTTGTTTTGAACTGTTCAAAGGAGAAGCCTAGCATTAAAATGTCTTCATATTGCACACCACTTAGTAGAGACTGCAATCTCTAGGTTGGCGTTTGATGTAATTAGGGTACGACTAACATAACAATTTTACAACAAATAATTAAGCGAAAGAGAAATGAGAAAGAGCCATAGAACCCTGTTCAATAAGTCGAATGCTTTAGCTGCCTGTTCTCAAGTTGGGCACTAAGGATAAGAGGGGATTTAGAGAAAGAATTACAATTATATCAATATTCAATTTTAACTATTAAAAATTTAAAATGTACAAGCCTCTTTATATAGGGCATAGAAGCTAAAATCAAAAGAACTTAAAATAAACTAGAACCTTACAAAATATTGAATCTAATATGATCTAAACAAACATAATTTGAATAAAACTCTACTTTAAATCGTATCTTCATTTCCCATCCATCCGTTACTACAAATGGGGAGCGAGGGGATGAAAAAATGATCTTAACCTTCCCAAAGTGAAGAGTACCTCACTTCTATTTGTTGGAAGGAAGGGAATGCAAAGAGAAAAAGGAGATTAGTTCACACTATTTTATCCTTCTACTGTTAATATTTCTTTTCGTTCGAAAATGTTTTGATTCTTTTTCTTTTAAATCTCTTTTAAATCCTTCTCCTGCTCCTCGAATTGATTGAATTTAGTATATGGATGGATGAATTCTCCTTGTCCTCAAATTGCTTTTCATAGCAGACAAGGGATATAGCCCCAACTGATTGAATTTAGAATATGGATGGATTGATTCTCCTTGTCCTCGCGTTGCTTTTCATACCAGACAAGGGATAGAGTCCCCCCTTCCTACCAATGAATTGGTGTAGTTCTTGTACCGTTTGTCTTGAATCTTTTTGTATGGGTTTGGACCCCTTTTAGATTGAACCAAAAAAAATGGAATAATATTACCTTAAGCAAAGAACAAGCAGTCTCTCTTACTCTCTCTTCATTCTTCCTTGATGTAATTCTTATGGCTACTCAAAATAATTTGTTTTGGGCCATGTTGGCTTCTCAATCATTTTCGTTGGACGAGATCTTATATAGATATAATCTCTCTTATGCAGATCCGCATTCAAGTGATATAAATGGTTCTGTGGCAAATAGGGAGACTGAATTTGGCAGAAAACCAAGTTCAGATGGTTATCCGTCGTCACAAACCAGGTGAAATTAGAGATGGTCCCATTCATTTATTGCCCTCCGTTTGACTTATAAAAATAGAAGATAGATCTCAGTCTTACATGTAATTGCCGCTTTTCTTCTCAGCTTGCCTGCACGAGTAGATGCAGGAGAAAATGATGGGCCATCTGTTGAGGGAAACCATAATAACACTGTAAGCCAGAAGAATTTGACAAATACGTTTCCCGTGGAAGATAAATGCGAGCTTCTCAGTGAAACATATATAGAAGTCCCAGTTGTAGCTGATTTAAACAGTGTTCCAACTAGCTCTCAGAATAGTTTTAGCATGCAACACGAAGAATTTTCACCAGCACTGACTCAGCCAGCAAAGAAACATGAGTTGGCAGAAGAGGTCCATGGTTTGGCTGGGAAGCCCCAAGGAAAAAGATTGGTCAAATCTAATCGGAGGGGCAGAGGAAGAGGTAAATGACTGCGATATCAGAATATGTACATTATCAATTTAGATCGTACGCTAGATTAGACATGACGTTCCACTAGTAATGTTGTAGACATCGTTAGATTAATGCTACTTTAGGCTATGAATTATATCATTTGTGTTGAATTAAAGCAGATTGTTTAATTTCTATTCATATCGCGGAACTTAGTACGATAGCATAATTTAGACTTCCACAATTCATCTTGCTAATATTTGTTTCCATGTAATGCTTAGGTAGTTAGTTTAGTGACTTTCGAGTTTTTTTTTTTTCCCTCAGGTCGTATTTTATGTTTAACTTATGTTGATTGGACTTTTTATACTCTCTCTTGTTATACATGTTATAGCTGCTGTCTTTCAGTTTAAGCATTATTTGTTTTTAGGATTTCAATGAATATGTTGAAACTGAATTGACGTACAGATATTTTAATCCGAGGTACTCAAGTAATTGCAAAAAGATCCCCTAAAAAAAATGAAATGGCATCAAGGCGAGGTTAATTATTGATGATGATGATGATAGGGACGTTGTAAATTTAAAATATTTTGAAGTGGGAATTGGCTTTTTGTTTAATTTTGTATTTGAAAATGAAATCACGATTGGACTTTGTTTTATCCTTTTTATATCCTAAGCAAATTTCTATTTTTGTGCAGTTAGCTTTTGTTAATAAGTTTTTTAATAATTGATTATTTATTATGTTACATAATTTAAGCCCTTGTTTGAACCCCATTTTAGAGAAAGAATTAGGCCCTATTTGAGACTTATTTTTATCCCATTAAAATGAAAAATATGATCGTTATCCATCATATCAAGTTACAATTTTTAAATTTCTATCTCTTACATGGGGTTCATAACGATTATATTTTTTATTCTTATTCTACGAATAATGTGGCTCAAACGGGCTCTTAATTTTGGAATAGTTAATTGATGGAGAATGTATGATTAAAAATTAAGAAAATTTTATAGATTTATGTGTAATATTTTTCTATTGGAAAATGTATAGTTGAAAATAAGTGTTGAAAAAATGAATTTTTAGAAAAATTGGGCTCAAACAATGGCTAAATATCAAGAAATGCAAATTCATCAATAAAAATTCATATTTATAAATTATATGCTAAAACAAGATGTTCAATATAAACATATATTTTATTAGGATTGTGCTATCTGCACAGGCTCTTTTGTACAAGGCCTGTAGAGGTGGACACACATGGGGATGAACTCCACATAAGGGGTCCACTCCCATGTGAGAGCCTTTATACAGACCCCTATCCAAAGGGGCCTGTGCAAGGGACTTTTCCCATTTTACCATCCAAGTAAAATTTAGCCAAGAATAGTATCATTTACATCTTCAAAATTACTAATGTTGATCATAGTATATAATTAGAATGTTGTATTAATCATTATAGTATTTCAATGTAATAACATAAGATTCCTTTTGGTCCTTTATATTTAATTGTATCTATTTTGTTAAAATTTATTCATCTAAAAATATATTCAAAAAAAGATAAAATAAGTACATTTATATAATTAAAATTAAATTCCGGTGAACAAACTATGTATATAATGTGTCACTATATATTTTTATAATTTACTTCGAGCAAATTTGCTATAACAAATGATGAAATTTTCATCTTGTCCTTTACAAGGGCTTCTTAATTAAATCAACCTCATTTCAAATAACTAGTTTTCCCCTCGTGCAATGCACGGGCTATATTATTTTTTAGGTAGTATTATCGTGTCAAAATATCTATTTCTTTTTCTCAATAAATCTACAAATTTGATTACTTGTTGTGTAAAGGAATGAAGAAAAGAAGTATATATATATTTTTATAGATGTTGCGTAAAGAAATGGAGAAAAGTAGGAAAAATAATATAACAATTTATAATCCATATAAATTATAAAGTGATAGGGTAAGATAGATTTGTATAAAAAAAATATATCAATCACCAAGGAAAAAAGGAAATTATATTGAGAAAATTTTCGGAAAAAAATAATAAACATTAATAAAATAATTAATTTTTTTTAAAAAAAATGATGAGTTATACGCATTTTTTAATACATACGTTTGATGTACGTTTAACTATTTTCGATATTCATTTAGATCATTCGATGTATTTATTATATAGTTCTTGAAATCAACTTCGAGAGAATATATAAGATTTATAAAGATTTGTGATAGGTTTTTTAAAAATAAAAATAAATAATCACCTAATAAAAAAAAAGAAAAAAATTGACACAAAAAATTATCAATCACCCAATAAAAAAAAATGACACTGAGCATCATTATTTAAAAAAAAAAAAAGAAAAAAAAAAGAGTCGTCGACGGAGTAACTGACATCCAGAAGCCAAGAGCAAAATTGCTCCACGGGTTGCTCTATTGATTTTTTTTTTTTTGTGTCAAATTTTTTTCCGTTACATGATTTATTTAATTTTTTTATAAAAATATATCATAAATCTTTTATATTCTCTCGAAACTCATTTCGAGAGCCATATCATAAACACATCGAATGATCTAAATGAATATCGAAAATAGTTAAACGTACATTAAACGTGTGTTAAAAAATGCATATAACTCGTCTTTTTCTTTAAAAAAAATTAATTATTTTATTGATGTTTATTATTTTTTCGCGACAATAATTTTTGACGCTCCTAATAAACTTTTAAATTTTTTTAATGTCAAAAGAGACATCATTTAAAAAAATTAAAAATTTGGATAACAAGCTAACTGTATAAATTCATCGACGATTGTATGGTAGTCGAATGCATAAATCTTCTATATTCTCGAAACTCATTTCGAGAACTATGTCATAGAAACAAATACGATAAGGTGTAAATACGGTAAGTTGCTTGCAAATACGGTAGGCTGTAAATACAGTGAGCTGTATATACGGTAAGCTTCTTGTAAATACGATAAGCTGCATATACTGTATATTGTATATATGATATGCTTAAAATCAGTATCTAAACTACATATACGGTATGCAATAATCTTGTTTCATTAATACCACAATATTCCAACAATAAGTAGTTTCTGCAATTATAAGAGAATGAGTGATTAATATTTTTTTTACCTATAAATAGCTTTTACAATTACAGATTTTTTATTACTTTTAAATAACTTGAAGTGCTTTTTTTACTTATAAGTAACTTTTTACATTCTATTAATATTTAATTTAAACTCTAAATATTTACTTAAAAATGTTGAAGTTAATATATTTTTTTTATCTATAAGTAGCTTTTACAATTATAAGATTTTTTTATTACTTTTAAATTTTTTTACTTATAAGTAACTTTTTACATTTTAGAAATTAAGAGTAACTTTTATATAAAAAATTATTTAAAAAAATATTATTACTCATAAAATTATAGGATATGGTCAATAGTTGATAGCGTGAGAAAATGGAGAAAAAGTACTGTGTGTCATATTCAAAGCATGTAAGTTGTAGGTAAAATAGAAAACAACGTCGTTTTCTGGAGACCAATTAAAATAAAATAAAAAATACAATGTGACAAATATTATTTAAAAATATATTACTACTAATAAAATAAGGAGGGAATATGAAAAAAATATTTTGTATTCAAAAGTCAAAACCAATTTAGAAACAGTTAACTCAATCAAGTGTGAAAATAAGGGTTACAAGAATGAATGGTAAATTTCAAAGCGGCTCATATAAGTAGGGTTGTCAATGGGCCAAGCTGAGCCGAGCCGACTCGGCCCATGAAAGCACAAGCTCGCAGCTCGTGGGCCGAGCCGAGCCCAGCTCGCGAGTAGACGTCGTTTTTCATTTTTTTTTTGAAACAAATAAGTAATTTGAAAAATAAAAAAGTAATTTTTAAATCGTGAATTATATATAAAAAAACTAGGTAAAAAATTTAAACCTTCCTCCTTTATCCGGGTTTGGGATCGGCTACTTAGATTTAGAGTAGGTGGAGTTAAAAATTGTGTTGTTTGTTTGTTTATTCGTATACAATTTTATAAAGAAAATTTATAACAGGATTAAAATTATTTTTTCAAGCAACGCTGCGCGTCCCCTTACATATAATTTTCGAAGAAAATTCCTTCTAAAAATTGAAAGGGTAATTGAATGCCATTTCAATTGTCAGAAGTCTTCACTTCGAAAATTATATAGAAGTCTTTCACTTCGAAGATTATATATAATCTTCGAAGTGAAAGATTTCTGACAATTGAAAGGGCAATAATTCGATTACCCTTTCAATTTTCAGAATGAATTTACTTCAAAAATTATATGCAAAGGTACGCACAGTGTAGTTTGACAAATTAATTTAAAATGTAGATATAATAGTAGTAATAGTACCAAGTACTAACAAAAATTTAAATAAATTAGTGGAAAAGATTTTTTTTAATTTTTTATTTTAACTAAAAAAGATAGAAAAAATGAAAATGAAAGCTTTATTTTTTTATATATATATTTTTAAAATAGATAAAATATAAACTCTCCTCCTTTATCTGGGATTGGGACCGGCTATTTAAATTTTCAATAGACGGAGTTAAAAATTGTACACGAACAATTTTTTGTAGCGTGTACAATTTTTTAATGAAAATTAA